CTGGATCCATGATGGAACTAAAGAAAAATCACTGAAATCACTGAAAGAGAAGGGTTTGCTGCATGTCTTGGACAAACCCTTTTAAAGTCAGCAGAGAGAAATGGCAGATATATCAGCATCTTGCAGTAAGTGATAAATGAGTTCCAGGAAACCCACTCTTTCTAATGCAGTAATCCACTCTGCTGAATAATGCTGTTATTCTAAAGTGAATACAATCTTAATGTTTACGTCATATTTTATGTATGACAAACTGCTTTGCAAAAAGGCTGGATGAGAAAAAGAGCATTTTATAGATTTCATACTGTTATGTACTAATAAAAAAAGAAACCCATTTTACTGTGAGAGTCAAGCAAAAAAGAGATGAGCAGCATTTAGATGTAGGACATTTTCTTAGAAAGACTATTATTATAAATTAGTAGCTTTTATCTACTCTCCCATTAAAAAATATCTGGCTGCATATCTTAATATTGGGGTATTCCAAAATAATGTAGACTAATTTTATTCCATTGTTTATGTTGAATAAAATAAAGTTACCAGGTGCTGAGTTTTTTTAATGGACTACAGGCTCCCCAGGGAAGTGGCCACAGCCCCAAGCCTGCCAGAGTTCAAGAAGCATTTGGACAACACTCTCAGGCATACTTTGGGATTTTTGGGGCCATCTTGTGTGGGGCCAGGAGTTGGACTCGGTGATCTTTGTGGATCCCTTCCAACTCAGGAAATTCTGTTCTTCTATGATTCTGTGATTCTATTCAGCATAATTTCTGGTGATAAACTAAAAAAGAGAATTTGGGATGCCTTGCAGAAAAACTGTGGTACCTTCTTCTCTTTTTCCCCTTTCATCTTTTACTTCAGCACACATGGAAACTTTTTGTTAGCTATGTAAGCATTCTTTTATTCAAATACTAATTTAACTTAGTGATTGCATTGAGAATGACCTGTGCTCTGGCATTTCATCTTTTCCATTTAGCACAGGGAACTTCTTGAAATTGATTAGCTCATAGCTCCTAAATCTTTCATAGTTTTGGCTTTTTTCTCTTCCCTCAGCGAGGAAGCTGCTGGTTTTAACCCTTCACATGAATTTAGGAGAGTCTATTTCCTAGCCTTTCAGTATCTGTGATGTTTGATGTTTCCTGGACTGTCCTTTGGCTTTGGATTTGAAAATCCTCATTCCTGTGCTTTTTTTGTTACTGACGTGTAGGCGCTACGGCCAGTGGAGCAGCCTGGCAGCAGTTTGGAGGGGAGGGAGCTGGGGAGGGGAAAGGTGCAGAGAGTGTTTTTTGCCAGCTCTGCCAGTTGCATGGGAGAGAGGACAGAGTTGTACAACCCTGCCACCGAGCAGCCAGCTGCCCACCCACACGGTGCTGTGCCACCCCAGACAGACATCTCCTAAGCATCCACAGGGCAGTGTGGCTCAGTGAGCTGGGAGCATAATCCGTGGGGATGCAGCTGGACCTCAGTGCCTGGGGACGGTGCCTCACAGCTGCCGATTGGGAGCACTAATCCACAGTCAGCCTGTCCTTCTCCACGCTCCACTGATGGGGTGAGCACGTTATCCTCGGAAGGGATCGACCCACAACAAAGCAACTGAACCTGTGGGCATCACATCTGGCCAGTTTCCTTAGGAAGTAGGTGTTGCTTTCCCAGCCCGCCCCAGGTAAGTAATCTGATCTTAAACAAAGAAGCACTGAGATGGCTATTTTTCATTTAGAAATATGTTAAAGCAAAATAAGTGTTGTTGTTGTTGTTTTGAAGGCATAAGGCTTGAATATTCTCATGCTCTGTGCCTCCCTTGAGCTTCTGGATCTTGGGGGCGATAATGAGGGATTTAATTCTGGGCAGCAGGTGCTGGCAGCAGGGATGCGATGCAGTGCCTGTAATCGTGTTGTCGGGTTCATTTTGCACCATCTGGGTGTGAAAGGAGCAGTCAAGCTTTTAATTGCAGTCCTTAGGCATCTGGTACCTTCCTCCTGCTGCTGGGGTTGCAGACGTGGTCAAAGAAAGATGCTCTGTGTGTCTGAGGCACATAGTTAAAGCCGGGGGCAGCGATGCCACTGCCAGTGTAGCCACTGTGCTGGGGTTGGGTCCCTGGGGAAGGGAATGAAAAGGCTGTTCCCACTTCCACTCTTCACCCATCACCTTTTTCTACCAGGTCAGGAGAAAAGGAAAGTTGGTCTTTCAGTTGTCTGGGCTTCCTATTCTAATTGGACGTGTTTTTCTGAATTGCAGATAATCCCAGTTGAGGAGATGTAAAGCAGATGTGGTAGGGAATGTGACCTGTTGTTTGAGCAGGAGCCAGGCTTGTGCTGTGGCTGCCCTCTGGGAATGGACCAACACCCTCTGGAGACCTGGGCAAAGTGGGAGATACCCCTAAAAGACCGATAGCTGAATTGGCTCCTTGCTGTGCTTTTAGGTACAATCCAAGCAGTGGAAAAGATAGCAAACTCCATGATAGCAGTGCCACGGTCACAGTCCATCCCTCCAGCGTGGCAGGGCAAGGCAGGAGGAGGCCCGTGATCTCAGTGTGCTGCAGTAAGAGAGAGGGAGAACAGTTAAATTAGGGAGTAGGATTTCCAGCACTTACCTTGCATGGGTTATCCAGATTTGTGCAGCCCTATGTTGCTGAGGTATTAGTGTCTTCATAGTGGCGTGGCTAGGATGTGATCTATAGGAGCATCTATGGCTTCTGCAAACTTGCGCAGAAATGTCAGTGTGTCAGGAAAACGTCTCCATTGAGACTGAGATTTTTGTAGTGAATATGCAATTCTGTTGGTGACAATGATGTCACTGCATTGTTTTCATGGGGTTTTTTTTTGTTGTTGTTTTTTTTTAATTTAAAAGGTAAGAAAACCAAGCAGGTTCTGCCCAGAGATGTTTTAATATGTCAGTACATGCCTCCAGCCAAAGTGTTGGCAGCCAGCTTAGGGGTAAGGCTGGGGACAAACAAGTGATGGCACAGTTCACCTGGAAACTACCACTGCACAGGCAGGGGCTGGCACAGAAGCACACCACCCTCTGCCTGAAAAGCTCAGTTCTAAGATGTGCCCTGCACCATGTACTGGTCATGGAGGGGAGCTCTGGGGTGTGCTCCTGGGTGATGGAAGCATCACTTTGAGATGTGATGGGAAAGTCAGGGATGTGCTTGGAGCAGGGAGCTGGAATCATGGGTTGGTAGTGGGGGGTATGGAGGGAGGACGGGTGTTGTGCTTGCTTCAGAAGCACAAGCCGCTGGAAATCAAATACTTGAGGAGGTAAGATTGAAACTTGCGTTGTTTGTCACAGATCAAATTACTAAGTGTAAGCCATCTGTGTTTCCTGGCGCTTTTTAAATGGTTTGTACTATAATGTGTACAGCCCTCTGCCAGAGGAGCAGGGTATGATGTGCTAGTGGAGAACATGAGGGGTTTTTCTTCCCTACTTTCCATGTTACCAGGGTACAAACTGTGTCCATCACACTGAAGGTGTGGGTGGAAGCAGTCCAGTGGCACAGGGTACAGCACCACTCCTCTGTTGTCCTATGTTGTGCTGACTTTGAGGCCCAGAAACTCCTTGTCTGGTTTCTCTGAATAAATGTGCAGCTATTTCTATGTTGCTCCAAACATGTTTGCACTAAGAAAGGAAAAGAAACATGAGGAAAAGCTAATTTGAATCATTTACCTGGAAGGTGTATAGCCTAATGCTTATCCTTAGAAATCAAGAGTCAGTTACCTGGAGTTTTTACTGGCTTTGACATAGCTTTCTATTGATCTCAGAGAAAGCAGTAACTTCTCTATGCTTTCAAGGGCCTTTTTCTAAAATGCATGTAATATTCTGCATATTGTTCACCTTTAAGGGTGTTACAAGAATTAAAGCTTATAAAGCGTTCTAGGATTTATTAATATAACTTACCTTAGGAGTGCAAATTAAATTCTGTTACTGTCTACTACTACAAATTAACCTACAGCTTTAGTTGCTGCTGTTCTGAGATGGATTTAAAGGATGGCATAAGGGTGAAAGACATTGTATTCCAGTATTGATCTCCAAGATCATCTGGACCCTGTACCTATTACTCTTCCACTATGCAGAGTGTTTACTACTGGTGGCTGTTAGAGCTCAGTGCAGTGATATTTCAAGAGGGGAGGACAAATGATTTGTAAATACACTGGATATTTTGAAGATGTTTTTCTTGGGCTGAAACAATTAAATACTAAAGTGAGAAAAGGACAGATAAAACTGAAATCTTCCCAAACTGAGCAGGTTCTGGATCCCATAGCTCAAAGTGATCAGTGGATTCATTTTCTGTAATTATATCAGAAAACTCTTTTCTGCTGTGATGGCTCATTGGATGGGTCAGTGGAATCAGGGCAGACAAACATACTCACAGTTTGCATGAAGAGTGCTAAATCTGAATTGTTTCTGGAGTCAGTGGGGCGTGATGTCAGCTCGGTGGGGAGAACACAATTTCTCAGTGACAGCAAAGATGAGTGTATCCCAATAGCAGGTTGTGATCTCTCCCAGCAGTGTCCTTGGGATAGTTCAGGGGAGGCTGTGAAGCATTTTATACTCATGAGGGAACAGTCAGCTGCCTTTAATTGCTGACTGCACTCAATCCTCCCAGGGCAGAGGTTTGTATATTTATATCAGCAGCCAGTAACTATAACCTATTCTTGTTCCTTTGGCCAACAGTAGTTATCCCCTCCTTGGCTAATTAAAGAGTGGGAAACCTGGCGGGGGGAGAGAGGATGAAAGGGGACCACACAAGTAGAAGTTAGGCTGAAACAGAGTTAAGCTCTCAGAAAGTTTCAGAATTTTTTTCCTAACCAAGGGGAATGAGGGCACAGTCAAAATGTGCTACTGTCTGTATCCCTCCACTTTGCAACAGAAGTGCAGTGTCCTCAGGAGGTTCTGAGGAGTTTTCATGATCCCTCCCCAAACCAATGCAAAGGTGAACGCTCAGGGAGGAGCTGCTGTAGTGCTCTGTTTCTGAAAGCTGTTTGACAGCCGTGTTGTTCTCTGATCCATAGGTCCAATGGATGGCATAGCAATAGCATCACTGTCCAGGGAGCTGGAATCCTTCCTCGCCTGCCTGCATGCTGCTTGAACTGATCCCAAGCCTTTGTTTTCGGACTGAAGAAACCTGAAAACCTTTCTCTCCTAATTCATGAGCCAGCAGGATGTGGTCGCCGTGCTTTCAGAACGCCTGCTTGTAGCCGCCTACAAAGGCCAAGTGGAGAATGTGGTGCAGCTTATCAACAGGGGTGCCAAGGTAGCAGTTACCAAGGTAACGAGAGAAAAATGCTTTGCAAAAGCCCTGGGAACTAATGTAACTCTTCTAGACCATTGTCTGTGAAAATGCCCTCCTAGCTTTACCAATCTGAATGTGACTGAAGTTAGTGTTCAGATTTCCTTAAAGTTTGCACTTAATAGCTCACGCAAATTTGCAATATAGTGCACGTCTTGTGTTTATACCCTTTGCAGGGGACGCAGCTGGGATGAACACTTAGTCCTTGCAAACACAGTGTGTCGACAGAGGGGCAACATTTTTCAAAGCCTGCATTGACTTTTGAATACTGTGTGACCTGATGAATGGAGTAATTCATCACTGTCAAGAGAAGGCGGTTCAGGGCACCCATCTCCCTGGGTCAGGGGATGGGGAAAAGCCACCTCTTGTGGCAGGGTAAAGAGACACAGAAATTGTTTCTTGCTGCTGGAGTCTCTTGGTGCAGCAGCCTCACTTATACCAAACATCTTCATTGATTTGTTCTGTGTAGTCCCTTAGTCAGTTCCAAACTTGGGGGTTGCAAACTGTGTTCCCCATATCTTTGAGAAAAGTCAGTCAGAGGATTTCTGCTTAGATACAAGTGAGTTCAAACTGATATTCACCTATTCCTAATGCTCAACATGTTATAAATAATATTATCTTAGAAAAGATGAGAGGTAACTGCCTGTTGCAAAGAAGGTTTGATCAGCAAAAAACCTTAAAAAGAACTAGGTAAGTAAAATCTTTGGAACTGTAATATAGAATTTGGGGTGTGCTGTTTTGATAAATTGTTTTTCTCCATCCTATCTACTTTTATTTGTGTTTCCATATTGGCTTTGACCATTACATATGTATAGAAGCTAATATTTACAGATAGAAAACACATTTGATAAAAAGAGGAAAAGACAGAATGCTTATCTGTCAGTGACAGTTGTTTTCAGTACCTTCACAATGTTTGAGTTGTAGATAATATTTATTTTGAAAGTTGGAGTGATCCAAGGACAACCTGTGTTTGTAATTTTGGTTTGGCAAAAGAGGTAGCCTCTTGCTGATAGATACAAAGCACAGATTTAATAAGCATGAATAACCATGTTTGGTTCTGTTGTCCAAGCAGCTCTGTAGCTGATGAACAGCTATTAAAGGTAGTCAGTAATAGACGAGGAAATACTGACTTACCTGGCATACCTGATTGGTAGCTCAGGGTTTTGTGGTTTTCTTTTCCTTGTTCGTTGGTTTTTTTTTTTTAAGATGATGAGCTTTGACACTGCTGAGGGACCTCTACTAATTACAATAAGAAACAAATAGTGTAGGTTTGACTTTGAAAGACAAAATCGGGTTATTTTGGTATAATGCCAAAATATCTTTTGGTAGATTTCCTAGAGTTGACAAGTTTTTCTTTCCTATATGACATAGGTGTCTCTCTTGCCTTGCCTTGTTGTTCTGCCCTGTGTGGAAAATCAAAACAAAGCTCATTTGGCAGCAAAACTGTGGCCAGGTACAAATGGCTGGTGTTTCTATGGAGACATGTGCTTGCCAGCTACGTTGGAGAGCTGTGAGCTCTGAGGCCATTCCTGTAGCTCCCCAGGTACTACAGCATTGTAGCTATTCTTTCCTAGAAGTTGTGTGTGTGTGTCATCCCCGTGGAGCCCAGAGAGGGAAGATGACAAAAGCTGTCCCTGTTGTCATTCTGAATGCATCCCAGCACACAGGCTGGTACAGATGGGGTACTTGGGTATCCTGGTGACAAGCCCTGCTCAGAAGAGATGAAGTCAGATCCGCAAGACTGTGGAGGAGTGCACACAGAGGAGCAGGGACCTTCTCAGAGCAGCACCAAGGCTGTGTGTACAGGCTGTTTTGAAGGTACTCTTACTCCTCCCACGCTGTGAGCCAGAGAGAGCTGAGCTCAGTGTGAACCAACGTGGTGCCCTCACCAGACCCCATCCATTCAGGCTCTGTGTTGGCCTGTCCAGGTGTACACAGTGTGGAGTTTGCATCTGGCTCTCACCCAGCCAGCCAGCTGCAAAGGGAGAGCATGTGCATATTTGCCTACTAAAGGCTGTATAAACATAGCCTGGAAGAGCTTGGCTTGCTAATCTGATGGCACACAAAGGCTGGAAGGAGAAATATGTTTAAAATTAAGGACAAGGTTGTCACAAGAGCAAGGATGTATAAATTAGACTCGCGTACATTGAAACTGGAAATCTGGATGGTTTCTTTAGCCATCACAGCAACAGGTTCTTGTGCAGTCTTCTACTAAGCAGAACCAAGCCCAAAGTAAGAACAACTTTCAGAGCAGAGGTTCTTAATTTTAGAATGGAAATTAGATGGCAGACTTTTTCTAGTGCAGTAAAATAGACAAAGATTTCAGATAAACTGAAACCCAGAACCCTCTTCTCCCCCAAGATAAAACTCATTGAACAGTGAAGCATAAAAATAATTTTATCCATGTGCATGCCTTAGTTCTGGTTTACCTGTATTTCTTCTATTTTTATTAGTAGTTTTCAATTTGTTCTACCTAATTATAAGTTATAGGGGTTTGCTTCCAAAAAAAAGAGAAAAGCAGTATTTGGTACTTGTCAACCAAACTTCCTGCTGAATTCTCTGGGTTTTACTGGAGGAAGACACATGGAGACAAAGCTCTTTGGAGGGAAAGAAAAAGTTCCCCCATCACAGCAGGCTTTAAATGTATTTCTGATCCGCATCTGCAAGCACAGACCAATTGTTGTGAATAATACCACAGAGCCACAGATTGAAGTGTCCAGGATCTAGAGATAAATGCTAGAGTTCTTTATTCAAAAATGATTAATCGAGCATAGCTTGAGAAAAAATGAAGGATATTTTCTGTAACAAACCAAGTACTAGTAAATGCCTTATAGCTGACTTGTCTGACAGTTCTGGTTTTGTCCTGTATGGAAGGTCATATGATGGAGTTGATTGTTGCTTCAGCAAACAACAATTCAGCTGCAAAATAGTATTTCATTTTTGTCACTTCTGAGTAGATGATTTCAGAAAAAAAGAAGAAGAATATGAAAGGAACAAAATGCAATGGAGAATTCACATACACATGTCCAGGTGCTGACTTCAGCATTATGGTGAAGATGCACTTCTTTCATTTTGACAGCATTACTAGTAAGGCATCTGTGCAGGTGAAGTCAGTATGGAAATGTGCACCTGCTCTGATTCCAGTGAGGGACACTCGGGCTCATTCCAGATTTGAGGTCTTTTAAAGTACATGAAGAAGAGCTGATGGCCGCTGGGTCACACAGGTGATGGCAATCTGACATCAGGGAGCCCAGAGTGGGAGAGGGCTGGTGGCACTGTGTGGCACATGCATTGAGCACCCATTGTGGTGCTGGACCTCTGCCACTAGCTCTGTGGGGTTGTGGCCCAGATTGTGGGCAGGTGTGGTGCTCAGCAGAGGCTTTGTGACTCTGCTCTTCTCAAAGGGTACCTGCTTGGTCAGGGTGCTCTGTTGCTGCTCTGCCTGATGTGACAAAGAGATAATTTCCATTTTTACACCTTTTTGTCTGACATTCTTCACAGGCATGAAATGTGTAGGTGATTTCTTTTATGAAAAGGAAAAAAATACCCTGAGCAACTGGTTGTACATACTGGCTCATCAATGCCCTGATCAAGTACTTGGGTGAATGAGCTTCAAAAACTGGAAAACTAAGAACTTAAACCTTTTCTTCCAAGCAAGAAGCTGGTCCCTTTTTCAGTCCTTTTGTGGTAGAGCTCTCTTTCAGTGAAATTACTGACAGCTGCATCTTTGGCACAAAAGTCCTGGGACTTTTGCTGAGCTGATGTGCCTTGCTGTCCTCCCAGCATGTTGTTGTCCTTTTCCTGAGGATATTGGGTTTGCATGGCCAGCTTTTGGTAGCAGGAAGGGCTATGGATGTAGTTTCTGTGAGAAGCTGCCAAAATCTTTCCCAGGTCTGGCAGATTTTTCATTTCTTTTTTAAGCTTAGACAGAAACAAAGAAATAAATGTATTTTGGTTCTTTCACATTTCTTCACTCCTTCAGTTTGAAAAGCTATTTGTGTCTGTTTTAAACAATAAATAAAGATAAATTAAAAGGGACCAGCAAACACTTAGGAACTTGCTGAACGCCTATTGAGGTCAATGAGAAGCTTTCTCCTGACTTGAGTGAGCAGGTTATTCATGGAGAACAGTCTAACAAATCATCAATGTGAACAATGTGACAAGACTTGCATTTTGCTTTCAGGCTTTCCAATAAAACGTGGACAGGCATGTTTTTTTATGGGTGCAGAAGGGATGACTAAATATCAGTCCTTGTGCATGACAAGAGTAGTGTGAGATGGAGAACTGAATGTCCCTGCAGAAAGGTATCTACACATACATAAACACAAGGAAAGATCATGGAGCCTATGGTGCTAAGGCCCTGTATGGGTTTGTTGTGCAGTGTGTATGCATTGGCAGCGATGCTGGGAGGATTCTGCTTTTAACTGGTGTGTATCGACAGCTGCCTGTCAATGTCTGTAAGTCAGAGCACAGATTTAATGCAAACAGAAACCTACCTTTGCTCTTTACTGCTGAAGTTCATGTGGCTGTTTACAGTGCCTGGCTGCAACCCAATACACCCCACAGCTACAGCAGTGTGTCACGGTGGTTGGAAGTTGCAGCCTTAGTCCAATAGGTCCCATTTATTTTGTCAATAAGTCCGTGACACGGGACCATTTGTATGATTTGTTGCCTGATGAAGCAATTGTTTACATTTGAATAGAAGTCCAAATTGCTTTTTTTTTTTTAACATATGACTGACTGCTTTATTGGTTCATTAATCCCAAGTGGTAGCAGTCTCTCATTTGTATTTGTAATAACCCCCAAAACATTACAGTTCATATTTGGCAAGGCTCACACGCTTCTAAGTCAGTAATCTGCATGTGGAACAGTCCCTGGGTTTGGTGTTGTGTCCTTGAAGTGAGCATCTAGGAGACACTCTGGTTTGTATGTTTTCTTTCCCCCTAGGACCCTTGTACACACAAGGTTTATTCATATAAACCCCTTCTTTGCTGCTGCCTTGAGTGCAGAATGTCTTTATGGAGGAGACACACAGAGTTTTGTCTGTCTGCCTTCATCTCTCTACCCCCTATATATTTTGGGTAGGATGAATTGCAGTGAGAGGAAAACTTGGTGGGCTTAAAGACACGAAGGCGAGAGCAGCCCTGACTTGCTGCTGTGGCATGGACTTGTTTAGACTTTGTCTCCAAAGCTTGTTTTTTTCCAAGTTTGTCATCACAGCATGATGGGCACCCAAATTGCCTTGTCTCTTCCTCACAGTTTGTTCTGGGTTGGTGTGTGCATGTGTATGTGCATTCATATCTGTGTGTATGTGTATTTATGTGGGGATTTGATGTTTGTCCAGTGTTTGCATCGCCTGCACTGGAGCAGTTGTCCAGCTGTACCACCCAACTCTGCTCTCATTTTGATGTTGCTGGGAAGAAAAATAAAATCTGGCATGGCTGGTTCTTGCAGGGTTGTGATTAATCTTGAGATGATCAGTACTCATCCAAAAGCCTGAGCATCTAATCAATGTAATATGCTGGAACTGATCTTCCTTCCCAGTCTCCTCTCCTGGTTAGTGTCACAGTTTTTGTTTACAGTGTCCCTTTAAAGTAGGAAGAACTCAAAGACTGCAAGTGTGCAGAAACTCTGGTTCCTGAAGGCCTCTCCTTAGGGTTCTGCAGTAGGTGAGACACATCTCAACCTATGTTTCTGGATAGAGAATCTGAAACACACAGACACTCTGGAATAAAAATGATCCTTTAGTCTTCCAACTCAACTGTGCCAGCAGGCATGGTTCATGTGGCAATTGCCCAGAAAGGTGTGTTTGGTGAGGAAAATATGTCCCTTGTATTCAAATAAACTCCTATTCTGATTTCATAGCTTACTTTTAACACTGTACCTTTAACTGCATGCCATAACTTTTTTCGTGGTTAGAACTGGTTATCTTATTAGAAAATTTCCCTGCTGGAATATATATTCATGTTGTTGACACTTCCCTTTTAAAGCACATGAGCTGGCTTCAAGTTGGGTTTGTTTGGGATTTTTCCTTCTCCATGCACAGATTGCTATAAGTTGTTTTCATGGTGTATTAATAATCTTCTGGGAAGTGAGATGCCTGGATTATGTGATTTACTTACTGGCATTAAGGAATGTAGAAAATTGGGATCCACAAATCTGAATGTGCTGAAGGACATGTTCATAATCCAAACATGCTGTTCATTGTTGGGAATGATTTGTTAATTTGGAATTTTTTCAAATTTTCTTTTGTTATTTATTTTATTATTTTTATTTATTTATTTATTTCTTTTTATCCTTCTATTGCCTGGGGATTTTTTGCCTCCTGCTATTGATTTAGCTGGAACAGCAACATACCCCTGGCTCTCCTCCAGATGGAGAAGGAAGTGTGGTCAGTGCAGCTCAGTGCCCTTCGATATAGGGACAGGATTTTAGGGACACATGGCCAGATGAAGCCAGAGGTACCCAGGCAGGAGGCTGGGTGGTGCCCAGGGGCAGTGGTGACAACAGAAATGAGCCCTTTCCACACCTTTAGCGGGGCAAGAATGGAAGTTTTTCTTACGGGAATGAACTGCTGCTGCCAGCAGGGGACAACATGCAGATTTTGAGGGAATGTGTCAGAGTGTGAGTGAGGATTTTGTCCTCAAATCTGCCCCTTTAAGTCAATAATGTAGGACAATTAATCAACACTTAGTGTTTCTGAAGCACAGCACAACTAATCAATCATGACACAAATGTTTTGCCCTCAGCCGTTCTGTTGATTCCCAACAATGTTTTTCCTTTTTGCTCTGAAAAGGCCGAGTTAATGAGGCTTTACCAGATATGTGGGTATGGGGTTTGCTGTATGAAAACAATCTTGTCTTGAGCTTGGTTTATTATATACTTGAAGTAATTTTCCTACTGAAGAAGTTGCTTAAAACCTCAGAGAGCCAATGAGTAGTTCAAGTGTGTACTTCAAGCCACTAGTCAGACAGCTGTTGAAGTGTTTGTCCCTTCTGTGGTTGATGTACTAGGGCTGTTTATCTTCCTTTGCAGGATAAATCATTGAGTGGAAAAATAGACAACAGCACCGGTAGTGAAGGAATAGATATATAATGGATACAGGTGAAGAGTCAAATGACTTTTAATGTGACCCTCACAAAATGCCTAATGGAGAAAACAGCATTCTTTGTGAAGATACTTCATGAATTTAGCAATTGCTGGGATCCCGTTTTCCTCACTGCCATTAAATAATCTGCAGTGAACAGTTTTAGTGTTGTTGTTTCACAGATCCTAAGGTGTTTCACTCACTTTGAGATTTTAGAGAGAGAGAGAGGTAAAAATAAGCATTGTCTAAAAAAATCCTGGCAGATCTTCAGCAAAGTGAAGTTGGTTGTCATACACGTGAAGTCACTTGGAGTCATTACAGGCCTTCCACTCCTTTCCAGGGCAGCATCTTTCATGTGCAACAGCTCAGTAATTCTTATCTCTGTTGCAAAGACAGTGCCCATTACAATACATGAATTAGCCAGTTACTGCAACTTGACTGTACAGAGGGAAGGTGACAGCAGTTAATAGTTCCATGCTCCAGAGGGACAGAAACAAAAGGGTCATGAATTCTGCTCAAGCATGGACACAGAGCCGGATCTGAATTTGTAAGGAAGTACTCTTATGTGAATGTAATATCCCTTTTGTAGAGTGTCATTGGGATAAACTGAAATGTTGCAGAAGGTGGAGAAGTTTTTTTCCAGCTTTCACAAAACCAGTGTAAAGCCTTTGTCACACTAATACATGTCAGTTGCTACTATTGCAGGTTTCAGACAGTGAGGTACAAACAGAATGATGAAAAGGAGATAAAACTCTATTCAATTACCATGCATTAAAGTTATTAATCTTAAGGTACTATTATTTTCTTCTCATTCATAGCATGGCCGGACGCCCCTGCATCTTGCTGCCTACAAGGGTCATCTCCATGTTGTCCAGGTTTTGTTGAAAGCAGGTTGTGATCTGGATATTCAGGATGATGTAAGTAGATACAACCTTCTAACTTGGGGTGAAGGGGAAAAGGTGATTTGCAAGTAACAGTAGACATTCACTTGTTTGAAGTAGGATTAAATGCAAACAAAATATGTCTATTTCCTAATTCAGAGATGTAACCTCTAATTTGGAGATGCAAAATTGTGTGGGAAACAATGTAAAATGTGGTTTTCAGTGAATAGTTTAGTCCTCTTGTTCAAGCTGCAGAGCTTTATAAGAGCACTGCTGGTGCCAGGCAGGTGTGAGAGTCATCATCTTCTGCTTCTGGTAGAAGTGCACAAGGAGTTCATTGTGGGAACTCGCTGGAGGACATCAGGTAGGGGACATAACCCGTTGTGATGTTTGCCTGAAGTGGGAGATGCTTTTTGAGTACATACATCCCTCAGTATCCATAACAGCTGCCCTTAGCACAGTGCTCTGCCACGGGGAGATCATCCTGGTGGCACCATGTGGGGGTGGTCACACCTCTGAGGTTTCTGTGTGGTGAGGCATCAGCACAAAAGCCAGCTTTAAATTTAACACATGGTAATTTGTGTTCATTTGGAAAAATATGTAAGTTGCTGGAATTTCTTGGGTTTCTGTAAGAGTAGTTCTAATCTAGGACTGGGCTGTAAGGCGCTTTGGAGTGACAGGTAATGTGGTTTTAATTTCCTCACTGGTGAAAAAAGGTGTATGCTGAAATGTGCAATAGTAGTTGAATAACCATGATTTCTTCAAATTAAGTGCTAAATTCTGATGGCATGCTAGAAGATGTTTGAGGTAGGGTTGCTTTTGTTCCCCCTGTAATATATAAGGTGGACATTCTTCAATGGCCTTAGAGGTCCAGAGGTGTTAGTAGAGGCACCTAGAAATACTTGACTAGTAGAAGGACACTGGAAATGTCTAGGTGCCTTTTTAAAATGCCCTTGGGCATTTGTTTGCATCTAGAGAGTTAAAAGTCTATAGCAATTGGAAAACTGGTTTCTTTCTCTGCGTGAGTAGCTGATTCCCTGTGAGACGTGAGCAGTCTGCCTGACAAGCTTGGGGCTGGGGTACTGATGTGGCCAGCTTTCTGCAGGAAAACTTGTTTTTCCAGGAAAAAAATTTGCTTCCTGCTTCCTGTGCTTTTTATTCTTTCCCTGTGCCCATCTGTGAAATGGAGCAGATTTCAAATTGCAATGGGAGATTCAGTTTATTCAGATATGTCCTGGGTATGCTTTTTGACTTCTCCCAGCAGAAATGGTTCATTAGGTATTGAAGACAAAATCGCAAATACTTCACAAATACAGCCAGTTTTCCTGAGAAAAGAAAACTGCTGCTTTAAGAAAGCAAGAGCTTCCACTGATTTGGTCAAATTGAGTTTCTGTGGAAACTGATTTTTGAATAAGTCTGGTTCATTTGTTTTAATCATCTAGAAATAAAGTCTATGCTGTTTATATGTAAACATGATAGCCATGATGTAAAAACAGTAAATCAATATTTAGCATCATTTCAGTTCAGTGAAGAGTCTTGTAGAAAACTTGTAGAAACACTCAGCTCATAGAAGAGGTATTGTCTTATGAGCTTCTCAGGGGCTTTGTTCACAACAATTGGATACTGCATCTAAATGTGGCAATTAATATGAGCAGAGAAGATGCATACTGGATTCATAGATACTGTTTCTTTAAAATATATTTTGATGTATAGTTCCGTATTTAGTAGTAGTAGTAATTTGGTTGGGATTAAGGAGAGCCTCAGGAGATGCTGAATTTCAAAGGGTGTTTGGATTTGTCTTGCAGGAGGAGGAAGTCTAAAACTCCAAATGAAGATTTTTGCTTGCAATAGGTATTAACTAAAATTTTTTTGCTTTCCTTTTATATAGGTCTTCAAAGAAGGTTCTCTGCTTATGGCTTCTCCTTGTATAATTCGTTTTTTGAGTTTATGCCTCAGAGAATATGTTTGTAGTCTCTTTTAGTTGCAATCTATTGATTATGCCTTCAGCCACTTTTACTGTGTGCTTATGTGGCAGTGAAGGCCTCTTAGTCTCAAGTGTTGATTAACATCTGTGTGTTTCATTGCTGTTTTTCAGGAATACAGATTTAGGTTCAGATAAAAAATATCTGTGAGAGCGGGGAATATTATATTTAATTGAAAAGTGCATTATTTTGTTGATTTTGGTCCATGGCATTGTTGTGATAGCACACAAAAATCCAAAAAGATAACCTACATTTTATTTTTCAAAATAACAAGAGAAACCTAAACAATTTATTTTGCACTTTTGATCAAATTCAAGACTAAGTTTTGATTCGCCAGATGAGAAGCAGAAACTTTGAAGTTGCTAATTGTTGTGGAGAGATTAAAATGCTCCCTTTCATGTTCTACAGATGTATTCCCTAATCACGATAAGAGCCTTAAGAATTAGTTGAAGAATGACCTCCAGTGGCCTGGAGTGGGATTATTATGAATTTCAGCCGGTGGAGTCCAGCTCTGTAGAGTATGCCACTCCAGGAGCTGACTCCTTCCTTCTCCCTGCCAATACTGACAACTCTTACTGGGATCCCAGTGCCATCTCTGAGTGGTCAATGAGTGTCCATACAGCACACACCTCAGAAATAGTCCAGGAGAAAATTGTCCCGGTGAAGGAAATCAAGGATGAAAAAAATAAGAGAAACCAGAAGAGAAAGGCTAGGAAGGAACCTAGAAGATCAGAAAGAGAGAAGGAGGTTAGAACTCTTGTGCATCAACCCTGCCCCACGCCTGACGCCCGTCCCGGTGCATGCTGCGACCCCCCGGTGCGGCGCTCCGGCATGGCCGAGCTCCCTGCGCTGCATGGCTGCATGGCCCGCTTGGCCCTCCGTGCTCTGCATCCAGTCTCCTGCCCTGTCTGCACCCTTCAAAATCTAACTGGGAAAACAAGTTGATTTAGAACAAAGGCCAAAGGCCCCGGAACTTACTTTCTAGAAGCTCTGGTTTAAGAAGCAGAAAATTAGTTTCAAATGGAACAATAGTCCGGGGTTCATAATCATTTCTAGCTGAATGAAAATATGCAAAGTGGCTTATTCCTGTGGTCCCATTTCATTTAAGCTGTAATTTGTTTTGTTCATGATTATTTTCCATGCCTTGATCACTTCTGCTGGTCATGCATCATCATTTATTGTGCAGAGTGAAGTTGTTCTTAACTGCGTATCATGACTGCCTCTCTGTAGCAAAAGAGGAGATCAGCACAGAGATACTGAGAAACATAACAGCATATTCAGTTCCCTTTGTGTACCACTGCTTCAGGGTATCCACATATGCTTGTATGCTCCTGCAAGTATTTAACACTTGGCTATATTTTAACTTTAGAATATTTTGATACATCTACTGTGAATTTAGTGGCTTGATTTTAGATTATATGACTTTACAAGTTCTGTTCTGCGCTTTGTATCGGGGACTGAAGCCATGAGTTTTTTCTGATTGTTTTGGTGGTGTATTTTTCAGTTGGCCAAAGTTGTGGATGCTCTATCACTAGAAGTGTGCAAAGCCAGGCTGGATGAGGTGACCTGGTCTAGTGGAAGGTGTCCCTGCTCATGCAAAAGAAGCTGGAACCAGATGACCCTTCCAACCCAAACCATTCTGTGATTCTATGATTTTGGTGCAATTCTCCTGCAGCAAGATAGTCTGTTGATTTCTGCAAACATAGAAGTGAGGAGACAAAGTGTCACATGAGAGAAGGGCTTTAAAAGAAATTGTACAACTGTTGGATGCTCTGGAGAATAGGAATGTGCAGGAAAAAATGTGGTTGTAGGTTGGGGCTTTTGAAATCAGAGAAAGGAAAAATTAGCATGTATTACAAAATATTTTAAACCAAATCTCATTAATTTGTGTCTGTAGAGTCTATAATAAAGACCCCAGTAACCCAGGAGAGCTGTCAGAAGTCTACCTGAGACTGTACTGGAAGTCACTTGTGTTGTTTTCCCTCAGAGTGAACTTCAGATGTAAATAGATACCTGCCCAATGTCCAAGTGCCTGGTCCCAGTGGTTGCATCCACTGTTTTAAGATTGTCAACACATGAAGAAGCTCAGGGAGATAGCTGCACACACCAGGACACTGGGCAAATGCCAACAGCCATGCCAACAGAGAAGTGCTAAAGAAAGGCTAATGCCGGAGTCCATGGGGAAAAATCAAGAATAAGGTGTCTGCCTTTCTTCAGGACTTGCAGCCTGTAAGCCTCTCCTGAAAGCAGATGTTTAAGCCCTCTGTAAAGAGCATAGTTCCCCGCTCTGGAAATGTACCTGCTGCTGTGGAGGAGCCCTGTTACAGGCAGAGCTCTCAGATGTGCAGTCCTGCATCCTCTGCATCAGGGCATGCAGATTTCTATCCCAGTCTCCCAATGTCAGCCTCTTACTATCCCAATGAATACCAAGATTTTTTCCTAAAAGTGGAGAACTTTCAACACTGCAGTGCTGCCATGGCAAGACAAAGTGAGTGAGCAGTGCTACCTCTGGGCTGCTGTGGAAGAGTCAGCAACCACTTCCTCCACTGGTTTAATTTTGAAGGGTGGTGGCTGTGCCTGCAACATGTGTGGATCTTCTTCCATCAGGTGTGTGACAATGGCACTCACAGGGCCAGAGAGAGGAGGGGAGCTGCCTGCAGTAGGGTGTGCCATGCCACCATGATGCAGTGCCCTGTGCCTGCCTTGCAAGCTGGCACATCCAGGGCATGGACATGTTGGAGTGGAATCTCCTGAGTTTGAGCCACCTTTAGGGTTCGACAGAGTCTGAGGAAGAGGGCTGAAGATTCACCAGTGTAGACCTTAATGCCTTACTTCTCTTGAGCCTCGCTTAAGTCTTTTTGGCTTTGGGCCCACATCTGCATTTGGGCAGACTGTTGTTTCTGTCAAGGTCATGTTTCTGTGACACGACACTGGAGTTGTCTCTCTTCATTGCTACTGATCTGCAGTCTGTTCCTAAGGCATAAATCTCTTGGAAACAGGATCATAAATTGTGCCTAACGTAATAGTCTGGACAGTTAATATGCATTTACCAGTGTAATTGCTCTTTGAGCCTCTGGAACAGACCCCTAATGCTTTGCTAAAGGCAGAATTCTAGTGAGTGCTTTCAGAGACATTTATTTCAGCAATTAATAAAAGGTGCACAAGTCAGTCATTGCCTGAAAATTCATGCTGTGAAAAACACAACTCATCTGTTTTCTCGGACTCCATGAAAGTCAAGGCAGGGATTTTCTTCACTGCTGATGAGGAGGGAAGGCAGGTTGGAGTGCAGTGGTGCAGGCACTGTCATTTTTAGGATGGCTGTGTTCTCCGTGGCTGGGTTGCTCAGTGGCTGTCACACAGAAGCCATCAGAGTTTCCACAGCACTTCAAGCAGTTTAAGGTTAAAGTTTGTGCTGAGGTGTAGGGGAACAGTGGACCAGGTGCTGTGCTCTGGCTGAGGGGTCTGATGGTGGTAGGGACACCCTCACCAGGACAATGATATGTGCCCTCTCTTCACTGGGAGGTGCCTCAGTTGGTGAAACAAGGTTTGAGATATCCTCTGACATGGATGAGGTTACATGGTTATTTTGTCTAGTTGGGGTGTGGGTTGGACCTTACTCTTGGATGCTCGTGTAGGAAAGATGTTATAGCCAGAGCCCATACCTTAGGCAGGAGGCACCTGAGCCTGCCATTTGCAGGACTTGTGTCCCTTCACCTACTTTCATTTCAGGGACCAGATTATATTTTGGGACAAAGCTTAGGCGTGGCTGAAGCTGTCGCAGTGCTGCTCTGCATCCCCAGTGTATGGAACGGGATTACCAAGGGGGACCTGGTGTCACAGCAGTGAGGTGTGCTGCCCACTTTTCAAACAGACAAATGTGTTTATACAAAATTTAAATGAAGCACTGTTAGAAGTAGCTGTCTTGCCAAAAAAGCCCCAAAAGCTAAATAGTCTTTGACCTCACTGCACTTACTATGATGGGAACAGGAACAGCCTTGATTTAAACTGTCCCAGTAAGAATATCCCTACTTACAAACCAAATCCTGTACAATCCATTCCTGCTCCAAATTTGTCTTCTCCCCAGTAATTTTCCTGACTGTAAAGCAGTAGGAACCAACCATTCATTGTTCAGATTCTATCCACTGCAATGTCAGTTGCCATTTTGTTTTAGTCTGTTTTATAATATCCTCTGTAGGTTTGCTGGTGCATCAATACCACTTGGCAGGGGTAGGTTGGCAGATTACTTTCCACTTCATGATAGTCAGATAAAATGATTTTTGCATTGTCCAAAAATGACTCACTACTGCAGTAACAGTAGCTGTGCCATTATCAAAAATCAGATATCAAATTCTTCCTCAGTTTGTTGGTGAGCAGATTTCCATGTAGTCATAGTAACCAGTAGCTATTTGACATTTGTACTTGTGAGGTGGTATAATTTGGACATTTTCCATAACATTTTGGTTGTCGTTGAATTTGGAACAAATACGTAAGTTCAGAGCACTTGCCATGCTGTCAGTTTTCCAAGAATTTTTGTTCCTACTTCCTGGAATCTTTACCGTCTTTGTTGAAATATTTTGTTTAAAATACATTTCCAGTTGCAAGAACAAAAGTAAAAATATGTAACCTCTAGAAACAACAACAACAACAACAACAACAAAATAGATAGCAGGTTTTTAAGAAGCACCTTCAACACAATTTTTAAAAATAAACTTCATCATTATAAGCCAATTTAATGATTTACCAGTAGGGATTACTGAAAGTTTGTGGTTGACAATGCTCATTTTTTATACATTAATAACTATTTTGGTGTCATTAGCACAAAAGAACCCCACCAAAAGCAATTTTTAAGTCAGCTGCAAATGGCCTTTGAGAACAAATTGTTCAAATATGCCAGTTATCTAAAGACTTGAACACTCTAGAATAAAAATACAGAAATTCCTGTAATTTTAATATTTAATATAATATGCTATTATCTGATAAAGAATTTTAGCAGAGAAATTTTTTGTCTATTTAGGACTTGGTTTCCTGCAAGCTTTTTTAGGACACATGGCATATCTCTGCCTTGTGTGTTTGTGGTGACCATTATCTAGAGAAGCAGAAATGGATTGGATTCCAAATCTGTTTATTCATCCCAAAAAAGTCTGTGTACAGCTTTGAAGCCTGTCTCTTTTCCTGGATTCAGGTTGTGCTTTGGCATTGCTGGTTCAAAGCAACTTCAAAGGAAAGACAAGACCAGTTGTTGTGGAAGCAGTGGAGCTACTCCAGCTCATTTTCCCATTGTCATTCCCCTGTCTTACGTCCCTACACACTGCTTCATAAATCCTTCTCTTGCCCTTCTTTTATTAGGTTCTCACCAACATCTGCATAAAAACATATAGATAACCCCTGATGGGCAGGGACAGTGGTTTTAAGTTTCCCTAGTTTTCAGCTTCTGGAAGGATTGCAGAAAACTAAAAAGAAAACTTGGGCTCTCTGGCTCAGCAAATGAGTTCAGCAGTTGTTAGAGTGGAGGTAGATGTGCAGTCAGACAAGATGACCACATCAGCATAATTTATTTTGGAAAGCTGGCCTTAAAGGACTGATGTAGGAGACTTGCTTGTTGCTGCTATGTGACGGGTCAATGAGAAATGAAAGTCGCTTGGACCTCAAGATTGCTCAGTTGCTTGAGTGAAACAAGTGGATGGTCCTGCAGTTGTGGTTCTCATTGTAAAGTTGCCTCCACTCTTAGCACTAATTGGTAAATTCATCAGAGGTGCTGAAGAGATCAATCTCATCTCATGCTCCTTATCCTAAGCAGGGCCGATGGAACAATCAGAGCCAGGGCAGGAGAGCCTTATCCAGTTAGTGTAAGTCCTGGAGGATCATTATGATGAATTACGACAGCCTGTAATTCCCTTTAGTTCCCTACAGACACTGATGCCTGTTAGACACATAGAGCCAAATGTGTCCAATGCACTGCCTTCTAGTACTGCCATGTTTTTAGAATGCTTCAGCTCTCTATTTGGGATTGTGATGACTTGCAAACTTCTGTAAATGGTTTGTAGCTCTGATACTTTCAATAACTTCATTAATCTTGGAAACTTTTATGGTAGTTGTTTAGGGGGACTGTTTCCAAAAGCAGCTTGGATTTAAACAGTATGTGTGTCGAAGATGCAGCCCCTCTGTGTGTTGTCTGCATTTGCATTAAGTCAAAATGAGGTGGAAATTGTACCAATTACAAATTTGCTTCTTTTTGCAGGGTGACCAGACAGCGTTACACCGGGCTGCTGTTGTAGGGAACACCGATATAATAGCAACTCTGATTCAAGAGGGCTGTGCTTTGGACAGACAAGACAAGGTAACAAAACAAAAGCCCTGTGGGATGGTAGCTTTGGCACTCAGCAATGTTAAGGTCTCAGAGAAGAAGTTACAGTTTATACTCCTTAGTACGTGTCTGATGCTTTGAGAGTAATTGGAACAATTACACTGAAAAAAAAGCTGTACAAATTACTTTATGATAATTTACTTTTTTTTACTAATTTTACTAATTACTTTATGATAATACTTTAATGCAAATTACTGATTTAGTTATGCTTTTATATTAGGCTGATAGTTTTTGGTTTAAGAGTCCGTTCTCAGCTCATTAAGGGATGAATTAAAGATTCTACTTTACCATACTACGCCCTACGCAAAAGACTACACAGTTCCCATCCCATGATTATCCCAGAAACTTGAGAATACCAGGCTGTAAGTTTAATTTAGGAGTAAATATAACTAATTTCATGTTCCAGACAAATAATAGTATTTTTACCCCCTTCTAAAAATAAAATAGAAAATAAGCTAGTAGGAAACGAAAATATTTTTAAGAGTGGGTTGGTTATACAGCCCCTAACAGTCTCCTCTTGTGCGTGTGCTCTTCAGGATGGGAACACTGCTCTTCATGAAGCTTGTTGGCATGGATTCAGTCAGTCTGCCAAAGTGCTTGTTAAAGCAGGAGCCAACGTTCTTGCCAAGAACAAGGTGAGACCCATGGAGGAGGAGCTTTCAGTTCTGGTCTAAGGTGGCTGATTCTCAGAACTGGAGGTTTCTGTCCGTGCCATTTCTCAGCAGGTGGGGGACCAGCTCTTAGTGGGATTTTTTTTCTTCTTTTTCTTTTCATTTATTACGCCTGGATGGTTCATCCACAGGCATTAGGAAATTCATATTTTGACAGCTGATGCAGGAAAAACTCAATAACACATTGAATGATACATTAATTACAGCTGAGGAACACTGCCATTCCTGTAGAAGTCTCCATGGTGCTCCAATTTATACTGAGGAGATTCATTGTGATTGGTGTGATTTAAAATGGAAATGAATTGTACTAATAAGAAAATGGTATCGAAAATCTGTTTTTCTCCAGAAATTAAACCGCCAAAGGCATGTAAGCCATAGAGAGAAACAAAACAAAAAAAGTGTCTTTTGTTACTAAGTTCTTCCTAATATATTAGCATTGTCTCTTCCCAGAATCTTGTAATGAACCTGGATTATATTCCTTTTGGTATTTATAATACCTTGAGAGCCATTTAGAGGAAGTAATAACAAAGTAAAGGGGTTTAGTTCCACTCTAATTGTTATAACTGAGGGACACTTCAATTCAGTAATTCAGAAGTTAACGGAATAGTCCAGGAAATGGTGGTAGCAGCCCATGGTGTGAGCAGAGTCAGGGTTTGGACAACTGTGATGCTGGGTTGGTCAGATCACATGGCCTGGCACTGTGCCCTGCATGACAAGGAGAGGAATTGCTTTAGGGAATCTCTGAGCATTTTTGGTAAATGTGTCTCTAAAACAACAACTGAAAGGGGCTGGGAAAGAAAGGAGACAAGGAGACATAGATCAAAGTCTAAGATTTATATCAAAAAGGCATGTTTCTTGGGCATAGTGTTTCTATAGGTGCATATGTGTATAGGCACTATAGAAGCATATGTCTGTACAGTTGTGGTGACTTTGTGGTCTGCAATTACATCATCTTCAATATTATCTTATGTGTATTCCTTCTTTTGTATTATTTCAAGTACCAGTTTTTATTTACTGTAATTACTTTTGCTGTAATGTCCACCTAGATTTGTATCAAGGGTACTTTAGAAAACTTCCCATGCTTGACTATGCTTTGTGAACCATTTTGCTCCTATCCCTGGATATGCTTGTCTGTGTACACACATACACTTAGTACAAAGGTGTGGGCTTCAGATGCAAGTCTGGTTATCCTGCATGCTTGGGTGCCTCTGGGAATTAAAAGATTTAGCTTACAACCCAGTTTATGTCAGCTGGAGGCAACCTCTCTGGGAAAGTATGTGCACAGAATAGCTCAGCAGGGTTGATGGCTGAAATATGACTGGCAAACTTAAATACTGCCTGAGCAGCTCCTGTGCTAGTCTTTGATGTCTTACCCTTTGCATTTCACTCTTTGGGTGGTTTTTAATGGACAAGATATATTCTCAGGAGCTGCTGAAAAATGTGGGAATCATGCATGCTTGCACGTGCTTTTACCCCTTTTGTTTTCAAGAAAAAAGAAAAGCTAAAGTCTACTTAATCCCAAAATGGTTTCTCTGTTCTCTCAGCTTTTTGTGTTACTGACGACAAGGCATTATCATTCTGACAGCTTTTCTGGCAGCCAAGGTTGAGTGCCATGTGCAGGAGCGTCCCACAGACTGTAGACTTACACCTGGGAATTGTGTGATTTTGGATGGATGGGAGAGATATGGGCTGCTAGATTTGCCAAACCTGTGAAGCAGCAGAAGATGGGAAGGATTTGACACAGTATTTTGGGTAGCTATATTCCTCCTGCACAGTAGTCACCCTGGAGGTGCAGTTTATTTTCATTTAAGTCAGCTTAATAAAACCCTTTCTGCTGTGATATATCATCCAATGAGATCAGCTGTAGCCTTATTTTTAGATTCTCCATCAGTCTGTACGTTTCAGTGAAGATTCCCAGACTGGTACAACTTGGACCCTCTCTCCCTCTCAGAAGTTGGTAAGAGATTTGTCACCCCATGGGAGATGAGCCAGATGAGCCACTCAGTCAGCTCTGACCCTTGGCACTGTGATTCACCCAGAACTGAAATCCTTACCTCTGCCTTCCCACCAGGGCCAACCTGCCAAACAGCAAATGATAGAGGCATTGCAGAGGCTTTTTAGAGATAAATTTGGGAGGGAAAAACTTGACACTTAAACACAATTTAGCTGAGAAGAAAACGTTCATGTCTGCCACAGCTTAGAGACTACATTCAGGTCTGTAATATGGAAGTGAAGACCTAAGACCACATCTAAGGGTTGGCTTTTATAATTCAAACCCTGCAGCTTTGATCTTGTCTTGAAAGAAAGGGGGACAAATCAAAGGACATAATCAAGGTGAACAGGTAGTGTAGTAAGCCTGGTAAACCTTTTTACCTGAGGTGATTTAGTTTCTAGCTCCCAAGAGCCAAAAACCCTGAATGTTTTCAGACCAACAAAAGCCAAATGCTGCCAGAAAAACTTGTCAGACCAATAAAATTGTTCACCGTGTTAGAATGGCAATACACAAGCCAACACTTCCTTGATTTCTGTCCATTTCTGCAAATTTTCTTCTTTGAGGAACCACAGCATGTGGTTCTCTGGGGTTTGTGTGGCTTTTTGCCCTCCCTTCACATTTTGGCTGGAGACTGGTGTGCTGTCCGAACATAAAAAAGCTTCTTGATAGCCTAAAGTCTGTATCCTGCCCAGTGAGAGCACCTACAGACCCAGCCAGACTTCAAGCTGGTTTGTGTTACAATCATAAGGAGACAGGAGTTGTGACCCTGGTCTGCTCACTACCCTGCAGCAGTCGTGGCTGGGATCCAAGATCTCGTGCCATGGCAGTTTGATTTTTTGTTTCAGTGCATGGGGGAAACCTGAAACACAAGAATTACACTGCTGTTTGAGACTAATGAATGAGATAGTTTCTAGAGTTCTTTCTTCCTGTAAACAGATTTGACCAATGCAGATATCATAATACTGTCCTATTTCTGCCTTTATTGTATCCCAGGTAAACTACTGCCAGAATGAAGTGGGGATTTCAGTCTCCGGGTTCATTCATCTCATATCTTTGGGAAGACTAGTTTCCCACCCTTGGGTGGATCTTCTTGTGCAAAGATCTGTGAGGTCTTATATTTTAATGCTTATGTCCAATTTCTAAATATGGCTTTTATATTTTCCTGTATTTCTCTAAGGCAGGTAACACACCTCTTCACCTGGCTTGCCAGAATAGCCATTCCCAGAGTACTCGTGTTTTGTTACTTGGAGGATCTCGAGCAGACCTCAAAAATAATGTAAGTTTTGGAAATAATATGCTCATTTTTGTGTGACTTTTTTTTTAGGTATATTGCTTTTACTTGTAAAAATACTCAGAAAGGCTATAAGCAATGATTTTTATTATAAATTATATTGAAAATAATACTACCCAACCATTGTATTCATTATGCACAGGAATGCTTTTGGTAGGACTGAGTGATGCACTACTTGTACCCATCTCTTGAGCAAGGATAGAAGGAGCCAAATGGGGTTTTGCTGTTGAAGACAGTGGTGAAAGGCTTCAGATCTGCAGATCATATATACTGTGTGTCAATCTGTCAAATGAGGTAGATTCAAGGTGGCTTCAGTTTCAGACAGCTTTCCTTCTATTTATAATGATTCTGGCATGATGGAAAAAGAAAAAAAACAATCTGCAAAAGGAAGCCAGATATTTTTGCCCTGCTTGATAACAAAGTGGGCAGTGAAATGGAAACCTGTGGGGTTTTGTGCAGCTCCCAGGCTCAGTTGCACAAATGTTACCCTTCATGGGAATGCTGCTCTGGGTGCCACTTATGTTTTCTACATTATGTGGATCCCTAAGCTGAGATTCCAAATTGCATTGGTTTGTGGTTCAGAAGACAGATTTAATGGGAAAATATAACTAATTCAGGGTTTGTAGTGCCAGTAAAATAGCATTTTATTTTTCCAGTATTTCCCATCAGTGGTTAAACAATTCATGCTTTCACCTTGCCTGACCCCAGCTCTTGCTAAACTTTCCCACCCATGATAGCAGATTCTGTACTGCAGAGAAGACAGCATTGCTGTTCTGTGGAGATGTGTGGTGTTTACTGCTCTTTCTGATTTAATAGGATTATTTCATCCCTGAGCATCATGACAAGTACAGGCTTTCTCACTGTGATTACATACTCAGAGCTTTGTTTCTGTTTGCAGGCAGGAGATACCTGTCTGCATGTGGCTGCTCGTTATAATCACTTGCCCATCATTAGGGTGCTGCTCAGTGCTTTCTGTTCTGTCCATGAAAAGAACCAGGTCAGTGCATGAACTTCATTGTGACTCTGTGCCCTCTGCATATGGCCCGTTGTTGGGAAGAGGAATTCCTGCCCAAGTAATCCAGCTTCACTCTGTGTGTTCCACTGTACCACCAAATGCCTAAGCTTTTAAGAATAGCCTTAAAGTAATGGCATATCAGTGGTTTATTATTTTGCCATCACATTTGCATTATTTCTTCAAAGCACTGCTTATTTATGAGGTGATTTAATGATCTTATAGCCATTACAGAGACATTGTGAAGCACAACTCACATTTAGATGCTACCAAAGTGCAAATTCTTCTGGAATACTTTTCTTTGCTGCACTTTGCAGTAGGGGGAATTAAGAGGACATAAAAGTGAAGACAAAGTATGCTCTAAATTCAAAGTAATGATCAGTCCAGCCTAGGATTAATCATCCATAGTTGTTTTATAGGGAAGTAATTGATTGCTGTACCTATAGCATAGCCTGATTGGGTGGTAGAAGGGAAAGAAATTAGTACATTAAAATGTGTTAAATCTGCTAAATAAACATATTATGTGGTACTTAACCACATTTTCTCATGTTCCTGGGAAATCTTCCATGTGTAGTTGAGGATCATAAAGATGTTTTCTGAACTGTACATTTAATGTTCCTTCTTCACTATGAGATATTACAGAAAACAAAATGGGTTTCAGCATGTTAAATTTACTATGTAATTTTACTTGGAAATGAGTTTTTTAACTTGCAAAATGAGCTACTGAATATTAAGATCAACTGCTGTGAACCTGGCCCAGAGAGACATCCCTTTGCCTCACTACCTGGCACTACCCATAGTTGTTCCATATTTACCCATAGAATGATTTGATTTAGGAGTACACCTCATCTAAGTTAGCAACAAGCACTAGTGCTGAGGAAATCTAATTTTATGAAGGCAAAATGCAAGACCAGGGGGACAGGAAAGCATTATACACACTTGTCCGGTCTCATTTGAACAGCTGCCAATTCTGTTACCAGTGCCCAAATCTGTTCATGGCTGTCTTCCCCTCACTGCACCAGGACAAGGGCAGGGCAGTGTGTTAGTGCTGGACCCAGATTGCCTCCTGGCTCTGATCCAAAATCAGTTTTTCCTGAGGATACCTGTGAAGAGCATGCCAACCATCTCACTGCCGGTACTTACCTGAGTATTTCTGAGTAATGTGATACATGACCACCTGCACACCAAATAATCAAACCTGGGGAAAAAAAGAAAAAGAAGAGAAGGTTGTGGTGGGAAAACTTGTTCTACCCTCAGATGTCGTATCCATTTACTGGAGGTAGAGCTGGGCTGTCTCCAAGCTGCTTCATGTGTCACTTGGTTTAGATAAATCAGATCACTAGTGCCCCAGCTGCATTTCTCAAACTCAGGGTGAAGTAGCACTTTGCCCCCTCCTGTCATCTTCCTCTCCACTCAGTCATTTTTTATTGACTGGGCCTTATTTCAGCTTAGTTGTTGCATCAGTAAGTAGCTTTTTTTCATCTCTGAGCATCTTTTAGGAAGGTGTAGATTCTGTAGAGTGAGACCCAAGGACTAATGTCTCAAGTTTGTTTTCTGCTTTCTGACTTGCAGGCAGGGGATACTGCACTCCATGTAGCTGCTGCTCTAAATCACAAGAAGGTGGTGAAGCTCTTGCTGGAGGCAGGGGCTGATGCATCTGTTGTCAACAATGTAAGCAGGACACAGAGTTTTTCTGGTATTTTATATTAATGTAGATGCCCTTCAACATTCCTCATAGGCTTGGTAGAAAATTCTTGGTTGTGAAGTGTTGAATTATATCATGGTAAATTGGCACAATTAGTCACTTCATTCTCGTGCACAGAGTATACACTGAACTTGGTTGGAGAAATTCCATGTTTCCAGTAGCTTGTGTTTTGAAGGAAATGCTGTTCTCTTTTCTCTCAGGCAGGCCAGACCCCTCTAGAGGTTGCCAGACAGCACAATAACCCCGAGGTTGCGCTCCTGCTCACTAAAGCGTCACAGGTACATTACACGTCTCTCCCCAACACACACATTCACATGAAGCTGAGGCCACTTAATCTTGGGAGGCTGCATCCCCTGCTTCCCTTGTCTTCTGCTGTGAAAGCTGCCTACATTTCTGCTGGCATTGTGGGCTGGACCCAGGTCTACTGACATAGAGCCTTTCAGTCCCCAAGGTGAGCAAGGTGTGCAGATTAAGCCTCAGCATGAAGTGCTGTCAGAGGTCTCTGTGTCCTGACTGGCAGAGGGTGGAGCTGTCAGAGGCCCTTGCTCCCTGCAGTGGCCCAGGGTTTAGAAAGTTGCCCTGTATCCAGAAGCTTCTGAGTTGTGCCACTCTACTGGCTACCTCAGGCATATCCCATCCCCAGAAATGTGGTCAGCACTGGAGGATGCTTTGTAATGGGGAAAAAATGTTTATGTCCTGTTTATACTTTGCAGCTATGTGTGAAATGCTGTAACGCTCTTCAAGCCAGAAGGCAGGAGGGCAGGAGACCAGGCACAATCCTTGCCCTCCTCCTCCTTTTCACCTCTGCATGGGCTGGGCTTGGCTTGGGAACCAGCACAAAGACAGCAGAGGAGGTGCTCACCCTTCTAGGGGACAGCAGTGCCCAAACAGACTGAGCTCAGTGCTGGTGTGTTTTCACAGCCATAAACACCCACGTTACTTGGCTCATCAGTGTCCCATCTGGCAGTGTGCTCTCCTTTTTCCACAGCCTTTCAGACAAGGAAAAGGTCTGCTCTATTACTTGTCCTTGTTTTCTTGTAGAGAAGAGCATGACATCACTGAGTAACAGTGTGGTCTGTCTTCAGGTCTCGCGTTTTAACCGTGGGAGAAGCCTGAGGAAGAAGAGAGAGAGACTGAAGGAGGAAAGGAGGGCTCAATCGGTGCCACGGGATGAAGTGGTACAGAGCAAGGTATAGCCTGCCATTACCAGCTGGATCTGCTGTGAGGAGGGACTGATCACAAAAACCCATTGAGGACTCAGTCTATTTGGAGCCATCAATTGTGCGTTGCCCCAGCAGCTGCCCGAGGCAGTCTGTCATGCTCTGCTGCTAAAGCATTTCCCACTCACATGTGCAGAGCAGCTTAAAGCTGGGCAATCAAAGAAGAGGCTCCTTTTCCCCATCTCTGCAACTGCTCTGAACTCCCTGTCTTTGCTTCAAGCAGGGCAGTGTCTCAGCTGCTGATGACACACCAAGCAGCGACCAGCCTCCAGAAAGGAAGACCAATCTGAAGGATAAACTCCGGTCAGCCTCACCAGATCCCAAAGGGAAAAAGAGCAAAAAGAAAAAGCCAAAGGAAAAGGTATCAGTAAATTTAAAACAGCAGAGAGAAAGAAGGGCTAGCTGTTCAGAAATGGTGTGGGTCCCTCTGGTATGTTGGGGCAGCAGCCCCACCATGCTCCTGGGGCAGACAGTCTTGAGATATAAGTGATTTTCACTGTAATTGTCACAATGAATTTGTCCCATTCCCATCAGGAATAGTTTACCAAGGTGCTCATATAGGCAAAACATCGTGTGTACATTATGCAGGTTTCGGCACTCTCGGACCCCATCTCCCCAGCTGATCAGCAGACACTCCCTCAGCCCCAGAAGAATGTGCCTAAGCGCAGAAGTAAACACCACTGCTCCTCTCCACCCCCTCCCCACGAAGTCCGAGCCTACCAGCTCTACACACTCTACCGAGGAAAGGATGGGAAGGTGATGCAGGTGAGCCACTGCCCTCACAGAGGGAGACACGGCGAGCAGCCTGTGGAGCTGGGGCACAGGTAACAGATAGAAAATATGCTCCACTAACTGCACTCTCAGGGGTATGAAATCATGACTTGTGATTGGTTTTCCTTGCTTGGACTTCAGCTGCATTTTAGCCTGAAGTCTGGCAAACAATAAGCTGTTTTTGTGCCTGTTAAAGAAGACATACTTAAGTAGTTTTGATCTGCAAAGATAAGTAGTGAACAGGGATTGGAAATGACACAAGAACTTTCATTATATACTTTGAAACATTAAGAGTTCTGACAGGAGATGCAAATAAATTTTCCAAGGAAAAGCAGCACAAAAAGCTTATTACCTAAACCAAGAGGCTGAGTAAGCTCAGTAGATTCTGTTCCAATTCTTTCTGGATTTTGCAACATGTCTTTGGGTATTCTATGTTTACTGGGGACAGGATTTCTACAGAAACTGGTAAACAAATAAACCTGGAGCTACCAGGCCACGTGCATTTATCCAGTTTGGAAAATAATATTTTAGTCACTTTATTACACAATTAATTACCAGTAGATATTTATAAGAAAGAATAAAAACAGTCATTAAATTATCCTGTAGACATCTGTATTGTTGTTTTATTAATATTGCCCTCCTGTAACTCCTGGAAATCCTGTCATTTCATTTCCTTAGTTTCTCGCATCCATCCATCAGCTTTTATCAGTCCCTTCCTGTAGTTCAGAATTTCAGCAGATTCTGAAGACCATTCAAGTCAGACTTCAAAAGTTTTACTGTCTGTTTACTGCTTTCCAACATCTCCATGTAATGTTTGAGAAATTTCCAGACGGGGCACTATGGAATTATCCTACAGCAGACATCAGGAAGACTGGGGGACCTTTCATATATTAAAGTTATGAAGGGGCAGAGAGGTGATGAAAGCAGACAGGACTTGTATACAAATCTCATCTATTCACAAAGATTAGCTTCATAGAGCTAGACTCCCATACAGTATTTCCTGAAATGCACAACACTCCTCTCTCCTTGTCTTTTTTGCTTGTCTGTCTTCTTTGATGCCCTGAGGCCATGAAAGCAAACATAATTTCTGAAGTACATGTGCTTCTGAAGCTTTCTTTAGTACTCAGCAAACTACCCACCTTTCCCTACCAAGGGAATGACCCCCAATTTATGAAACACTGCTGTGGGGCTAAAGAAGAGAGGGAGGCTCTTCTGCAGACAGATTCAGAGCAGCTGATTTGGGCTACTGGCACAGCCCCTGAAGGAGCCAGTTTCTGCCTTTGGGCTGCAGAGGAAGCTGATGAGGTTTATCTGTCCCTGCTTAAGGGAGCTTTCTGTGACCATCTCCCTGAGAGATTTGAATGTGGTCAGTACAGCTGCCATTGCAGAGGGGCCATGGGATGGTATCACATGAGTCAAAGGTAGGCAGAGGAGTGCCCAGCAGGCAAGGGGTAGCTGAATGCCAGGAGGGTGAGGGCAAACAGAAGCAGCGAGGCCTTGCCATTCAGTACTGACAAAGGACAGAGCACATGATTGGCATTAGGTTAAAAAGCAAATGCACACAACCCACACGCATCCACAAAATCAGATTATTTTACAGTTGAGAATTACAGCATTGAGACATGGGGTCTAGGCCTGTGATGTGGTGTTCCCTCAGTCAGCACACAGGGTCTGAGCTCAGTGCTGCTTGTAGCCCAGTGAAATCAACACTGCTGTGTTAGGGTGTGTCCATACACATCAGATCAATCCTCATGTAGTCTGTGCTTTTTCAATTAACAGCCCATTTGCTGAGCTGCTGTAAGATACTGTCAGGAGGGTGAGATACAGTACATAGGATAGAAGAACCCAAGACTGACTGAAGGAGTCTGTGATAGTGTTCCAAGTGCACTAAGAGGATGTGGTGGGGTGTAGCAAGTAAACGTGTCATTATCACTCTTTTCAGGCACCCATAAATGGATGTCGTTGTGAGCCTCTGATAAATAAACTGGAGAATCAGCTGGAGGCAACAGTGGAAGAGATAAAAGCTGAGCTTGGGACAGTACAAGATAAAATGAATATTAAACTGGGCCAGATGGAAAGCAAAACTCAACACCAAGTAAGAAAGAACATGTCCTGAAGTTCTGCTTGCCTACATGATTTAGAAACTTATCCAGAATTTAATTAATATTTTCATCGTAGAGATTCATTTTTTGCTTCTTGTATTGTAAAAGCAAACCTGAACTCTAATACTCAAGTCCAGGGAACTTTGACATTCCACTGGGAACTGATGTTGCAAACCAGTTTTTTTCTTGAGAAAAAACACATTTAATGTGTTAAGTGTCTTCTGGTGCTTCTTTAGACAATGAATCTTACGGGCTTGAGCCATTAAGAGGGAAAGAAGGCAGTCCTATGACTGGTCAGTTCATAATTGTCAAAATCCCTCTTGCTGAATTATGTATGCATTGAGACTCAAGATCCTCTAAATTACTTTTTATTTTTAATTGAATAGTTACTCATTGGTAATTTTATGATTGAGCCTCTTTGCAAGCTACATCTAATTGTAGTTGGCAGAATTCCTAGAAACAAAGACTGAAAGACAGACTGTACTTTGATTTTGGTTTCTAACATGATGATCTCAGCTGAACAGTGTTTTTCCCCACAGCTCCGAGTTTTGGACAAGCTCATGGCCGAGCGACTGTCAGCAGAGAGGACAGAGTGCCTTCACCGCCTGCAGCAGCACACGGAGCTGGAAAAGAGTGAGGGGGAGAAGCGGCAGGTACGGCTTGAAACAGCTACTCTCTCTTAGTCCATGCCCTGGTAGGTCAGCTCAGGAGTTTCATTCCAGCAGGCAGAAAATATTGGAGATGTGGCACATCTGTTCAAACAGGTAAAAGAGCTTCAAAGACCAAATTATTCCTACCCACTATCTTAGTCACTAAACCAAATTTATAAAGTTTTTGCATTAGAAACGAGGAATGTGAAATCCAGTCCCACTGCTGTAATTAAATTTGGTATGTCTCTAGTGTGGGTTCTACAACAAAATACCGTTTTTCTAACATAGTGATTTGCAAAAATCTCCAGCACTAAATTTTTCACAATTGTGCTTTCAGCTTTTGCTTCATTAGAGGACATATGCAGGAACATATCCAAATAGTAAAAAAGGCTAAGGTCTGCGTTGTTCCTTTTTCTTCTCATCCATTTGGTTGTGGGTCCTGGGAATCTCTCCCTTCTATCTGATCTTTTTTCCCCCCATGTATTAAAGGCTGAAGTTCTGTCCTCTGATGCTAGCAACACAGCACCATCTCCAAGCTGTGTATTACAGCCAGTAGGAAAGTATTTTTTTGTATGCTCGTTCAACCAGCAGTACAAGAACAACTGCAACAGCTCTTGCACTTCCAGCTTCTGCAAAAACTCACCATTTAAAACCTGCTGAGAAATCTGTTTCTCCACTCACACAGGTGAATTTAAAACACATTTCAGTTTCTCACTATTAGTATTCTTCCAAGAATTGAGAAATGTGCTTTGTGCTAGGAAAATGTCATGAGTGTTTGTAAGACCATTCCAAATCCATGTAAAAAGACTGACAGCTGTGATAATACTTGCATAGGATACTGATGAAAACACTTTGTGTCTAATATTCACCAAACACTCTTCTCCAAACTAAGGCATCTTTAATTCTTATTTCATAAGAGACATAAGTATTTTATTGGCTTCTGAACATTTAGGCTTGTGCTCTGTCTCCTTGTAATCTTCATTTAAGACACAGGATGCTGGAGTGATACATCAGTGAAGTGAATTAAGTCATTAAGTCAGTTGTTCCTGCTCAGTTTGGTCTAATTGAAACATCTGAAAAAACAGAATTGGGCTTTACTAAACACACTGACTAAACATCCTTGTGCCTAGGAAGGCCTGACCTAAATTCATTATGTCATATGAACAAAAGGGTGAAAAGAGCTACTCCTATTTGAAGTTATTTAAATGCATCTGCAGCTGACACTTATTAAGCATCTGTGTAATCTGAAAGCTGTTACTGATTTATCATTTAGTGGGGGACTCACCTTTGTCACTGAATGAAAGAAGAAGAGGTTGGTAATTGTATAAAGCAGCTCCCCAGAAGTGTCTAATTTGAATTTCACTCTTAGAAAATGACCATGTGGTGTTCCTTGCACTTAGAAAGTACCACTGACTGTATGATTAAACAAGTCATCCCTGATAGAGAACTCAGAGTTGCATTGGAAGTAGCATATTCGTATCTATGAGTTGATAGCTTGGACTAAAGAGACTGCCATTCATAAGCTAGTGTATAGTTCTCCACCTTTTTTGATCTGCAGTCCTTTAAATATTCCCAGTGGCAGCGTGCACATCTTAACAGGAAGTCTAAGCCCACACATATCCATCTTGCTTCTCTTTGTCCCTGTCACATGTCCTCAGCAGCTCAGGAACCATAGGATCTCATCATAAGATCATGTAATTTACAGTCTCTTTCTGCTAGATTTCCTTGGTTGATGAGCTGAAGACCTGGTGCTTGTTGAAGATTCAGAATCTGGAGCTCAAGCTTTCTGGAGATTCCAGGTCATCGAGACCAAAATCAACTTTGTCCACTTGTGAGTCTCTTACTGAGACCCTGGATACTGACAACAACCCCCACAGTGCCAAGGACTGTAAAGCCAACCAGCCTGTGCTCCAGTCAGAGGGCTCCCACCAGCATTCCTATATCACACTTCCAAATAACCTCTTGGAAGATGGGGGAAGGAGCAGAGTCCAGATGCCAGAACAAAGTTTTGGGCAACACTTTTGCGTTAAACAAGATGGAGCATTGGGTACAACCACGTCAGGTATTTGGCTGTCATATCCATTCAAGCTCGTTAACTGAGGGGTACTTGTATTATTAGTAGTACATAATTCTGGTGGTGTGCTTCCCCCCTCTATATGCCTAATGTCTTGGGATTTAAATACACTTCAAGGCAGCCACTGGGAATATTTTAATAGGTTGCTGGGTGGAATTCCATTGACTGTTCCTGATGCTTCCACTATGTCTTTGAAGTAAAAATCCTTTGGTGCTTTGAATAACTCTTGGCCCTGGAAGATTCTGAGGGAAAAAAAAAAGAAATGCGCAGAAGGGCCAGGTGTCTATAGCCAAGTAGAATGCTATCTGAGTCCTGGCTTCTGTAAAATACAATGTATATGTCTCCTAAACACTATGCAAAGTGAACAGACATGGATGCCCCATCAAATAGAAAGGCATATAAGAGATCTTGTGGTGCTTGAGTGTGAACTATTCTGCATTGGAACAGTTCAATAGCACAGAAATGTGTGACCTTTCAAAAATTACTGGGACTTCAAGTTTTGTAGAAGCAAGGGAGTTTGTAAATAACAGCAGACATAACTTACTTTGGAAATCTAGACTAATACTTGTTACATGTCCTTCTGATGAAATCACAGAATCACAGAATGGTTTGGAGTGGAAGGGACCCTAAATGTCATCTCATTCCAAACCCCCTTGCCATGGGTAGTAACATTTTCCACAGTACCAGGCTGTTCGGAGCCACATCCAGCATGGCTTTGCACACTTCTGAGGAGAGGGCAACTACAGCTTCTCTGGGTAACCTGTGCCAGTGCCTCACAGTGAAGAATTTTTGGCTAATATTTATGTCCTTTGCCTGTTGTCCATCTGTAGCCCTGCAGCTGCAATGCAACATCTCTCTGCCTGGTCCAGTTTTTCTGCTTTAATGATTTTTTTGTTACATCACCTGACTGTGAAGATGTGATAAACTAATATAAGCCTGTACAAGGTACACACAAAATCCCATCATTTATCAAACAACGAGGTCTTCTAAGGCTAAAATAAATGCCCAGACTTCTTCTTAATATATTGTCTATAATTTATTCTATAGGTACAGAGCGACAGGTAGTGGCTGGTGGACCAGTTTCTCCCCCTGCTCAAGACGTCAGGCCAAAGGACAAAGCTGTGAGTACCAGCACGTTCCACAAGTTCCAGCAGGAGCTGCCCTCCTCTGAGCTTTCGGGCTCCAAATTAAGACATGTTAAAGTTCAAGCTGCTTTGCAGCCAGTGACTGAAGCTGCAAAAACTGAACCACAGAGCGGCTACTTCATTGACAAAGGAACTCAGACAAAAAAGTCCAGCAAAAGTGGGCAGTCGAGGCACAAAGCTCTGCATCACCCAGGGGCACAGCAGGGCCAGGAGCAGCAGCCCTCGGTCCCGCCTGCCGCTCCACACAGAGACACCTCCCAGGCCTTGGAGATAACCCAGTACTTCTTCGAGGCTGTTTCCACGCAGATGGAGAAGTGGTACGAGCGGAAGATAGAAGAAGCCCGGAGCCAAGCGAACCAGAGAGCGCAGCAAGACAAAGCTGCGCTCAAGGAACACATCAAATGCTTAGAAGAGGAGCTGAGCAAATTAAGGACTAAGGTGCAGAAAGAGAGCTAGCACCTGCCAGGCAGGTAATCAAGCATCAGGACTCATTTTGGAACCTGCTGTATGGGAATTTGGATATTGATATATATTTGTAGTGCCTGTTACATCCAAACACAACACACTACTTCAGGAATAGAAATAACTTCAGAAACTCTGTAAGTGAGGAGTTCATATGTTCATATGCAAACTACACTGATAACAAAGAAATGCTGCAGATTAGACCCTTTCTTTGTTATTTCCAAGAGTCTGTCAGTATTGCACTCTCAAGTTTCCAGATGCTGCTTGAAACCAAACTGCATTAGTAACCAAAACTGCTTTCTGAAAAGGGAAATCCCTTACTACCACACAGGACACAGACTAGAGGGTTCTACTGTATGCCACATGTAAACATGCTGTGATACTATTACTGAAATAAATGCAGGATGTTTGATAGCTTTTGACAGAATTAGTGATGAAGGGCTGTTGATCCTATTTTAGATACTCCCAGGGCCTCTCTCTAGTCAGTGGAGAGAAGCTAAAGAACCCACTCTAGTTACAAGCCCAGGCCAAGGTAGGTGACAGATGCAGGCTTCCAGCTGGGAGAGGGCAGGCAACCATGGAGGGAGATGCTAAGGCCACTCATCCCATTAGGTACAGAGGCTTCAGCAACCACTTTGCTTTTCTCTTGGTTTTCTGTTATTAAAACAAGTGCTAAATCTGATTTGTCTTTTATTAATGGTGTCCTGCTTGCAGAGCTCCTTGTGGTTACACTATTGTTGGGGGTGTACTCCAGTAATCTGAGAGCTTCTGTTTAGGGCATGGATGGCAAATATTTTACTGCAACTGTGGTCTATTTGTTAGGTTGAATGTTTATATAAATCTTTTTTCCTTCAAGCAGGAAATGGCTGAATTGTCTACTACTGAAGAAGCTTAAAAAAGTCCTTTATCTAAGGTAGTGAAAGCTTGGCTTCCTGTATTCAAATGTTTCTTTTTCTGTAGTCAGGATTTTTTCCCAGGCACCTTGTCCAGACTGTCTACCTTTGCTCCTCTGAATGATTCCTCCTCTGGTTCTTTCCCTTCTGTCCCTAAAAAGGAGACCAGGCCCTGATGAGTCTACAGGTTTCAGGACAAGCAGTCCTTCAAAACAGCACTCAACATTTTAAAAGTTTTATCAATATGTTCTGCTATAAAATTTGGAACATTCATTGACCATAGTTGTCCATGTTGACAGACTCCAGATAATCTCAAGGCACTGTAACTATTGCATCTGCACCCCTTTAGGGTTTTCTCCTTATACCTCTGAGAAGGCCCCACCAGATTCTGCTAGAAAAGTAAGTTTACTTACCAGATCATGCTAGAACAACTGTTCAAAATCAGTTCCAACACAGGATGGTACTGTTATGCCAAGGAGAAAAATACTTTTTTTCTGTACTAAGGAGTTCTAAAATCAGTACAAAATACAGTGTTGAAGAATGCCATTCACTAATTAGTAATTAAGCTTTTGTCTTCTTAGCAGATGTATAAAGCAAAAAAAGTCCTATTATATAACAGTATTTCTAAAGTTCCTATTAATGCACTATCACAAGAGAAGTGTATCTGCAGCTATGGAAATACTAGTTTTCTTGCTCTGACTTCTGTAGTCTAATATAGACACTTTGGTATGTTTACAGTTTTGTTTAAGCTACAGTAGGAATGCAGAAGCATGCTGTTGAAGTTTTGTATCACCTGGATGAAGCTGATGTTTTGCCAAGCAATTAAACTAAGTGTTGCTCAGAAACGTGTGGTGTAACGTTTTCTAGCCACAAAAAACTGACAGTCCCCTCACTTGACTCAGAAGGGGGAGCAGAAGATTGAACTTCAACTTCTAAGCTTTTTGTTTGTGGTTATATAACACCTCCCCGTCTGTGAGGCTGCAGGGACTGAGTGCTGTCTGTTGGCTGGTGCAAGTGCCCCTTTCAGAAGTTACAAGCGTGGGGCTGAGTTGCACACAAATCACACACACTCTCCTTAGCTTGCCCACAAGCTCAAAGGAGAGGCTCTGTCTTTAGCTCTACTTCCCATATAGACCACACTGCACCACACTCATAGGTCCAAGTAATTTAAGTAAATCCAAGTAATTACCAAGTAATCTAAGGCAATAACCAGGCTGCATGTTACTGATTTTAGAGGTTTTCTGAAGCCTCTGAGTGTATGGTAAAAGAAAGAGAAGCATTTTCTGCTAAATCCTTTCTGTACCCCTCCCTTCTTCAAAACTGAAGGACTTTATAAAACAGGTGTGATCTACCTACCTTTTTCTTCAGGTAATTTTACTTACCTTTGCAGGCTGTACTTGGACTCTTTAAGGCTTCTGTTTGGCAGCTTTATCTTGGCAAGCCTTCAGAGCAGTGGAGATGAAGGGCAGCAGCACTCGAGGTTAGCATCTGTCCAGGGCCTGTCAATCCTAGCTCTGGATCACGTTGACAACCTGGAAATGTACAAACTGGGAGTCAAAGGGGTAATGCAGGCCCCAGGCTCTGAAAGAAAAGCACCATGGTGAGGCAGCAGGGTAAAGCCAACTGATCGAGGAGCAGAAATCCAAGCACTGGCTGAAGGGGAAGGGAAGGCTACTGTGGTAACAGGTTACGGCTGTTCAGTCAAAATACCTCATATAAAAAATATACCTAAATACAAAAAAAAATCAAAACAACCAACCCTAAATACAAAATTCTCTTAACATGAAGAATAAATCCCCAACACAAAAATGTTCTGTCAGTCTGTTCTACTAGCAAATGTTAACAAAATGTAAATTTTTAATGAAGTGTTTTTAGGTAAGTATTTTTCATTGACTGATTGAAGCTTAGAGGCTTCACAGATCTGAACGATAGCTCCTGCTCCCAGCTGGGGTCATTCCTCCTGTAGCCTGGAATTCCATCCTGTGCCTTCCCTGGTGCCGGTGGTGATACCTATTTACTGGACTTGCTGCCAGTTTGTGCAGCTCAGCAACTCTGCAGAAAACCACCTTGAAAAGCAGCGGTGTTCCCTAAAGTAACTACAGTAGCAGAGTGGAAGAGGGAAGAGTTCTTGCATGTCTTGGAATCACAGCCTAAAACAGGCATCAATCTACTGCTACCTGTCTAGTTATGTGGAGAAAATCCCCAGCTCATCCAGGCATTTTTAAATTATATGGAAAAAAAAGATACATCACAGCTCAAGGAAAGTGAGAACAGTTGCAAGCTAATAATTAGAAGTGAAGTAGTATAACATCTGAATAAACAAACCACAACTTTTGCACTAAGTATTTTCTACCTGTAATTCTTCTTTGTATATTGACTTTTAAATACTAATTTGAAGGTACTTGGTAATAAACATCTCTGGGGCTAAAATCTCCCACTTTCATAAATAAGTTTTATTCAGCTACTACTGAAAATCAACATCTACATGCAAAACATTTCTTTAATGTTTGTTCTGGGCCAATTTATTTATCCCAAATTCTTTTTCTAATCACAAATTTGTGTGAAAATCCTTGGCACACTACATAAAGAGGTGTCATTGTGAATATTACCAATTACAGCCACCACAGTAAAACATACACAAAATAATCTAGTATATATTTATTTTCCATTGCACTGGCATTAACACAGCTGTTGTAATTTTTGGTACTTTCTGCTTTTCCTGCAGCACACGCTATATCATCCATGCAGTTTTTAAATGTCCTTTGTGTCCAAGCAATTTCCACTTCTGAGGGTACCCAAACTGAGAAATGGATGGGGAAGGGGAGAAAAACCAAACCCCCACTGTGGTAGATTCCTCCTTCAAACATTACCAGGTTGCCAGCAAAGGCTGCCATTATAACCACATTTTGGAAAAAACACTGTTTATTTACAACAGATGAAAATCTAATTGCCAACAAAATGAAGATCAGGATTTCGCCAGCTTAAGTGTTCTCTGAAGTTCCTGAAGTTGCATGTTGCCTTGAGTAATCATCATCCTGATTGCATCCTGTAGAACAGAATGGAATCTAATGAACTGTACATCCATACACAGCACAGGTTTTACACAAGCATGCAGACTTTTAATGCATTAAAATACATAGAATTCTTACAGGCACTACTGTCTTTTATTTCATTGTGTAAAATAACAGTGCTGTCTCTGAGACAGTTAAAAAACAGGTTATGTTTAATGGATTAATTTTCTCCAGTTCCTTAACAATGTACTTGGTAATGGCTTTGCTTTAAAACTCACTTTTTAATGGGATTCAAACTCTTAATGTTTTCTTTATGCCTGCGTGTATATTGCTTTTGCAAGCCAGTAGTGAGAACTGCACATGAGCATTATGGAGATGGGTTTTACAGAGCAGGTGCAGATTTCTCTCAACGTTTTATCTAAGGACTCTAAGGCTTTGTCTGCATAATTCAGCCACCAATTCCTTGGCCGCTGGCTAGAAAAGGGAAAGAACTAGAATGCAGAGGACAGGAGACATACAAGAAATGTGAAGGTTTCTGCATTTCACACTTGCTTCGCATCCCAAACCAGCCCATTTGACTGTATTTTGCTTGAAAACAGGTGAAATTAAAGCTAAAAAGAAGAAAAAAGCTATAAAAAGCTTAACCAAGTTTATGTTACCATATTATTCGATACTGTTCTCCTTATCTGCAATTTGAGCAAGCAGAGTATTTGTTTTTTGGGTTTTTATTTCCAGATTATTGTCTGTGATTTTGAGAAAATTACTACTGCTAAGAGGGAAGTTTAGATATGCTGGATTATTTCTTCGCATAGATGAGGCAGCAGGAGTTCTCACCAATCTGGAAGCGACACCTACAGAACAAACCCCCAAGACACAGGGCAGGACAATGCAGCGACCATTCCTGAGGGCAGGCGATCAGAGGTGCGGGTTCCCGATCCTCACCTCTTCTGTAGCATCCTTATTTCTCCTGAATTCCTCCCTGGCCCAGTCCTTTAAGTAGCGGCGATCCTGCTCCGCAGGTACCTCCCGGATAGCCCGCAGGATCTTGCGGTACAGCTGAAGGACCTGCTGCCGCCTCAGGAACTGGCAAGGAGAGAGGGAAGTCTGCCCGCTGCCCCACGACAATGCTGCGAGCTGCACCCTCGGCGCTTAGCTTCGAGGGATAGTTAAACAACCACCGAGTTACCCATCGTTTCTACAGGACGCAGCTTGCCCGAACCCCCGAGCTCGGCCATACCTGCTTAAGGGTGAGCGCGCCCGGCGGCAGGCGGCCGGCGGCCATGACGCGGCTCCGCCCCTTCTCCTGCCCCGCCACGGGGCCGCCCAGCCCGCCCCGCGCAGGCGGGGCCGAGGCCGCCATTTCCTGCCTCATCCCCGCTTTCAGGGCTGGGGAGCGTCGGTCGCTTTGCTTAAGCTTTGAGCAATTCAAGGCACAGACGTCGTAATTACAAAGAGTGGTACCTCTCTTTATTAGTACAGACGATACAAGATGCATAGGTTTTGCAATGAAAAATCGTGCCTGTGCTCCAAGACACCGGACTTACGAAACATCCCCAAAGCCTGCCTCGGACAGGGGCAAACTTCACAGTGTAAAGTGGTAAGGCAGGGATCATATGGCATGATTCAGAAAACTCCCTGCTGCTATCGTCAGGCAAAAATCAGCAATAATTAAAAAGGCTGTGTTAGAACTGCAGAATAGTTCCAAGTATTCAAGTACTTGTTGTTGATTAAAACCATCTGCCTCTGCTGCTCCCCACAGCTTCCTTCCCAGAAGCACCTCCACATGGGTGATGCTGAAGAAGGCTTTATTTGCAACTTCTAATGCAGAAATGTCTTCCCAGGAACAAGACTGGTTTTACTTATGGCATGGAGGGAGCAGCAGGAGTAATATCACCTCTATTAATATTAGAAACATGTTTGTTTTTTTTTTTTTCTTTAAAGGTAGTAAGTTATTACAAGAGAATTTGAGCCAAGTTTTACAGTTACTGTGGGAATAGCAGGAGACAGTCTCACCATTGCATAATTGTCCTCTGACACATGTGGGAGGATGCACCCAAACCATTCTGTTCATTCACAGTCTCTGCCCCCCCAGGGCAGCTCCCACAGGATAATCCCAGTCAGGAAGAGCTTTATGACCCCTCCCATGAAATGCAGTTTCTTCCATTTCAGCAGTTCAGCAGCAATCGAGTCCTGACCTTGTCTAAAAAGTCTAAAGAGTGTCGGAGGCAGTCACCAGTTCAAACCACTGTCTGAGGGCATCACTCAGAGTTTCTGGGAGGGCGTTAACATCTCTAAGGATCATGTAGAATGGGAATGGGAATTCTTCCATGTAAGACCTGATTTCAGGCAATTCTCCAGGTCCTTTGAATATAGGTACTTTAATGTCCAAAATAGAATCCTGGAAAAAAAATGTATTGATGTTACTACTAAATTACACAAATATTCTATGACCACTGATAGAATTTACCCTATTTTATAAGTACTTACATTTCTCCCTCGTTAGATTAAAAGTTAATAAAATACTTCCAAGATTAAAAGCTCTAAGTGTTCAATGGTAAATCAGATCAGAAGGTGAACATAAATCAGTTAAATGCTTTTGCCCTTTTAGATAAAAGTGTACTAATCCATGAATTATGGGCTAGAAGAGACTAAGCTTAAGCTTCTGCAATACCAAATTCTGTAAATAAATTCTGTCATTTCTTAGCATTTTATGATTTGATTTTGCTGTTGACACTTTAGTTTTATTAATTTGATGCCTTCCCAAGACAGTATGTAAGCCCTTTAGT